TCTTAAAAGGACAATTGTAGAAGGAGACTTCTCTTATGAGATCTCATACATCCATTGAATTGATATTTCAGTCTCAAAACCACTCTTGCCCTTAATGGGGAAGCTCTGGAAGCATCCCCTCCAAAATCAAGAACAAGTTGGCTATTTCCACTTTTATTTAATCTTCTTGTAGGGTGACTAGGCAATGAAGTTAGACAAGAAAAATTATTTATTTATTTATTTATTTATTTATTTACTTATGGCTGTGTTGGGTCTTGGTTACAGTGCATGGGCTTCTCATTGCAGTGGCTTCTCTTTGTTGCAGAGCACGGGCTCTAGGCGTGCAGGCTTCGTTAGTTGTGGCACGCGGTCTCAATAGTTGTGGCTCGCAGACTCTAGAGCGCAGGCTCAGTAATTGTGGTGCAGGAGCCCAGCTGCTCTGCGGCATGTGGGATCTTCCCGGACCAGGGATCAAACCCATGTCCCCTGCATTGGCAGGCGGATTCTTAACCACTGCGCCACCAGGGAAGTCCCAAGAAAAATAATTTAAAGCTGTGAACGTCAAAAAGAATAGGAAAAACTGTTTGTATGTAAACATGAACATGTATACTTAGAAACCCCAAGAAAAGTGACTGAGGGATTTCCCTGGTGGCACAGTGGATAAGAATCCGCCTGCCAATGCAGGGGACGTTGGTTCGAGCCTTGGTCCGGGAAGATCCCACATGCTCTGGAGCAACTAAGCCCGTGCATCACAACTTCTGAGCCTGATCTCTAGAGCCCGCGAGCCACAACTACTAGAGCCCGTGCTCCATTAGAGAAGCCACCGCAATGAGAAGCCCACGCACCTCAACAAAGCGTAGCCCCTGCTCGCCACAACTAGGGAAAAGCCCACACACAGTGACGAAGACCCAATGCAGCCAAAAAAAAAAGATATAACGGGAGAAAAGATAGCAATAAAAGAGATAAGATTCAGGAATTCCCTGGCATTCTAGTGGTTAGGACTCCGCATTTTCACTGCCAAGGACCTGGGTTCAATACCTGGTCCAGGGACCAAGATCCCACAAGCCATGTGGAAGGAAAAAAAGAAAAAAGATAAGATTTTAGGAATAAGTTTCACAAGAATCTGATGAAATGGGTTGGAAGAACACTTGCAAGCACCCCTGAGGGACTCGGGAGACAACTGAGTGGAGAGCTCACCTCCTTGTAAGTATCTCCCACGTTCTGCAGTCAGGTGAAAGACGAAGCCCCGCCCAGCATGCTGGGTGCTCTTCTGGCCCTTCGCAAGGCTGGATGAGCTCTTGGCTGGTGTGGTGGGAAGCCCTGACCTCTCCAACCCTTGTCCTCAGACGAAGGCCTTCATCCACCATGAGCTGCTGGCGTACCTGTACTCATCGGCGGACCAGAGCAGCCTCATGGAGGAGTCGGCTGACCAGGCCCAGCGGCGGGACGACATGCTGCGCATGTACCACGCGCTCAAGGAGGCGCTCAGCATCATCGGGGACATCAGCACCAGCACAGTGTCCACACCCGTGCCCCCGCCCGTTGATGACACCTGGCTCCAGAGCACCAGCAGCCACAGGTCTGCGAGGCCTGGTCGCCTGCAGGCTGCAGAGGCTGCTGCCTGCGGGATCCCAGCTCCACCCCCTGCCACGCCCCCATGTGTCCATCAGGGCACAACCCATGGGTGGGCGGGGTGCAGGGGCCCCGACCACGGATGGCTCAGCACCCAGGGCTAGCCAGTGTGGGACTGCCTCCCCGCCTAGGCCTGAAGGGACTGGAGACAGAGGGTTAAAGGCCTGCCTGTCTCCTGGTGCCTTCCATTGGTTAAGCCCCAAACAGAAGCCAGAGAGGGCAAGGGGCCTGGGCAACCCCGGCCATACGGGTGAGCCTCCTGGGGCATAGAGCATAGCTGAGAATGGCAGGCGGGGGGGAACTGGAGGGACACGTGGAGGGTGTAACCAGCAACCCCTGCCCTGTCCACCCTGGAGCTGAGATGGAAATAAGGCCCTGGCATGGGCAAGTCAGAGCATTGGGCAGGGACATCTAACCAGTGACAGGACAGATAGTGGGAGGAGAGAGGATTGGTCAGGGAAATCTCAGAAGGTGCCAGCCCTACTGAGCCCTTGGGGAGCCTTGGAGTTCCTCGGGGAGAGGGCACAGCAACCAGCCTGAGGGGCATCAAGTGCTTGGCCCCAGAGGGGAGCCTTGGGCGGGGTCGGGGGGGGGCACCTGGGACAGAGGCCTTTGGGCCCTGCAGCCTCTGGAGGCATTTGGACCTGATCTGAAGGGCAGGGCTGGGCTCTGAAAGGATCTTTGGCTATAGAGGGGGGATTAGAGGAGCGGGGGAGGCCCGAGTGGGGCCAGTGAGAGGGGAATGCCCACGGGAACGAGGCCAGAGGGAAGCAGGAGCCCTTCGCAGCTGAGGACAGGTGCTGCGCCCTGGCTCAGGTCTTGGGGCTGGACGGAGGGGCCCAGTGTATCTGCGCTGCCCCACGCCCAGGACCGGGCAGTCACCTGCATCTGGCTGGGTGGTAGCTGGTGCCAGCCCATGTTACAGAGGAGGCCACCGTGGCCAGCACCCCACGCCCCGCCTCGGGCTTCCACGGCCACACGAATGCGGCCAGTGCTGCCACCCCCCATCTTCAGCTCACACCCTCTCCTTCCTCCACAGCCCCACTCCGCAGCGCCGGCCTGTGTCCAGCATGCACCCCCCAGGCCGGCCCCCAGCAGTGAGGGGCCCCACCCCGGGGCCCCCCCTGATTCCTGTGCCGGTGGGGGCAGCAGCCTCCTTCTCAGCGCCCCCCATCCCATCCCGGCCCGGACCCCACCCCAGCGTGTTTGCCAACAATGACCCCTTCTCAGCCCCGCCTCAGATCCCATCTCGGCCAGCTCGGATTCCACCCGGCATCCCCCCTGGAGTGCCCAGGTAAGGCTGGACCCCCTCGCTGCCTGCCACCTAGAGCCACCAGCCTGTGCCCTGCAGGGAGCGGAGGAGTCACTGGCATCCCCATTGGGCTGGTGGGGAAACTGAGACTCAGAGAGGCCAAATTCACGGAGTGGTGGAGTCAGGGTGACTCCCAGGCTCTCGGGCCTGTCCTCTTTGTGAGCAAATGGGCCCACCACGTAGCTTGGGTCCCCTCCCACGGGGCCCCTTCCGGTTTTCACCTGTCCCCTTTCTGAGGATACGCACGTCAGTCACTGCCCGCCCCAGCCCTGCCTCTCCCCACCCTGCAGGCCAGGGTCTTTCCTCCCTACTTCTCCTGTGAGTAACCTGAGGTCCAGGGCGGGCGGGGGACTTGCCCAGGGTCACAGAGCAAGGGAGTAACGGCGGGGGTACTGATGTCCAGGCTTGGCACACTCCCTTCCAGCACCCGAGCAGCCTTTAGAGGAGCAGCCGGCTTCGGGCAGCAGCCTGGGGCAGCGGTGGTGGGGCCTGGGTCCTCCTCCGTGCCCTGCTTCCGGCCTCACTGCCCTCTCCCCTTCCCCGTCTATCTCTATTCTCTTTGCAGCAGAAGACCCCCTGCTGCGCCCAGCCGGCCTACCATTATCCGCCCAGCCGAGCCATCCCTGCTCGACTAGGCTGCGGGCAGCATGTTCTCGGGGGTCCTCGAGCAGGACCCTCGGTGCAGGAGCTTCGGTGGTCCGGGCCCATCCACCGCCACCCCTGGCCTTCCAGTCCCCACGCGGGACCAGGCTCCCTGCAGGCAGCCCCTGACTCTTCCCTAACCCTGGCCCCAGTCAGGGGCTGGCCTGGCCCCCATCCCCAGCTGGACACAGCACTGAATGGAGGGGCCCTGGAGCCCCAGGATGAGGGGAGCCGGGGTGTTGCACTTTGGGGGATGGGGTCTCAGGTAGCAGAGGAGGCAGCTGCGTCCTGAGTGCCATCTTGAATGAGGGGTCCAGGCTGGGGTGGCGGTGCTCACCCAGGGGCTTCTCTGGCCAGGAAAGCCTGAGTAGGCCAGGCTTTCTAGAAACGGCACCGAGGGTGTCCATACCCCCAGTCCTTGCTGGGGCACAAGGAGTGTGTCTGCTTCTCAGCAGTGGGAGCTCCCGGCGGCGAGCCAGGCCCAGTGGGCCCAGCGCTACCCGCCCGCCCAAGTTGTACATATTCCTTCCTTGGCCGTATTAACTGCACGGCCCAGCCTCGGCTGCCAGAGGTGCCTTTCCCAGGTCCGGAACACTCGGCCCGGCCAACCTCGCTCTCTCCTCCCTGGGCCATCTCCTCCTCCTGGGTCCCTGGGGCAGCCTGGGCTCAGGGCTGAGTGGGTGGGGAAGCTTCGGGGGCCTCTGGGCTCCCACTCAGGCCTCCCCCACGGGTCGGGCCCAGGTGGCCTCTCTGTGAGCAGACCTTCTCGCTCGCTCGGTTTGACCACTGTAAGTGCCTGCACTCTGTATCCTATTAATAAACTAAAATAAAGGGAAGACGCTTCTGGTGGCTGCTGTGTGGGCCTTTTGTGTTGACCTTCAGGCTGAGGACGGGGGCTGCTGGCCTTCCCCCTTCCCCCTGCACCCCAAACGGCACTGCTCTTGGGGAGAGGGTTCACTTCTGGAGGGGAGAGCTTTTACTTTCCTTAACACTTCAGGAGTAGGAGCAGACATTCACACAGCCACACACACAGGCCTGGCTGTCCCCCCACCTGCACCCCAGACGGCACTGGTTACAGAGGCCAGGACGGGGGCCTGCGGCAGGCGTTGCAGTTACTGAGGGGAGAGGGCCTCCTGGCCCTGCGCCCCAGACAGTGCCGCAGTCAGGCCCCCTCCCCACCCGCAGTCTCCTGAGGACTTTCTCCAGAGGCCCCCTTCGCCCTCTTCGGGGCACAGGCCTTCCAGCCCAGCCGGGGACACAGTTAAGCTTTGCTTTTTCTGATTTTTCTCTTGTGCCCAGGCGACCACCTCCATCGGCTCCTGCCCGACCTTCCTTCTGAGCTTCGTGGGAGACCCCTCCCGCCTGCCTGGCTGCCCCCTTGGGGGCAGGTCTGTCCCGGCTGGTGTCCCTGAGCCCCAATCACCAGGCTCTGTGATTTTTCTGACCATAATTTATTGACTCTGGTGCCCAGGCCAGACTGCCCTTTGTTCCATGAGGCTCCTGTGCAGGCTTTGGCCGAGGCCACCCCTCAGCCCTGTCTGGGGCCCCTGCGGGGACAGCGGGAGGGGCGGGTGGTCTTGGAGGCCCCGCTCCTGGAGTTCTGTTACCGGACCTCACACCCAGCCTGCCCCCAGCTGGGCCGAGGGGCCGGGCCCCTTCCTGTCAATAAAGTGACTGTTCTCGCAAGAACACTGCGGCCACGTCTCCTTCCCGGCCCCTAGCACGAGCAGGCCACCCCCAGCAGTAGCACAGCCCTCAGGCGGAGCCACAAGGAGAAGGGAGGCATGGCATCCCACAGCAAGCCCCTTCCTACCGGGACCTGGCTTGGAGGGCCAGTGGGGAGGGAAGGGGGAGTTTGCTTCCTGGGCCCCGTCCGTACCGCGTAGGGCTGGCGCAGGCTGGAAGGCTCCGGCTAAGGCACGTTTTACAGTAGGGGACAGAGGCAGGGCCAGAAAACGCAAGGGTTGCATTCGAACGCTGCAGTGCCCCCCCATGCACAATTTCCGGGTGCTAAGCCACCCCTCCTGGAGCGTCCATGTCTGCAAGCCAGCTGGTATTCCCTACCCAGCCCCTGAAGGGAGGAGATGCAGGGGGACCCACACCTCAGGCCCGAACTGCACAACCTCCCCTCCCATAGAAAACTAAGCTGGGGAAGGGACCCCACCCCCGACCAAGTCTCACACGCATGCGCCTTGCTGCTCTTCCTTTCGCCTGTTCTTCCATGGCAGTGGGCTACGTAGGCACGGGCCGCTTGTCTTGAAAGAAGCGCTTGAGCGTGCAGACTTGCAGCACAGCCACGAGCAGCAACACAGCCACGTTCACAGCAGACCAGAAGTTGACCCGCTCCAGGTTGCCCTCTTGCAGGTTGCGGTCACGTGCCTCAAAGGCCCGCAGCAGAGTCAGCATTTGGATGCTGCGCTCAAGCCGGATCCTCATGGTCTCGATGGACTCCTGTGGCACAGAAGGAGAAGGAGGTCAAGGTTTTGTCCTGCAGAACGGGGTGAGAGTTCATGTTTGGGGGGAGAGGGAGAGGCAGCTGAGAGCACAGACTCAGTGGCCAGGCTGCCTGAGTCTAAATCCCTCTGCCACCCAATGGCTGTGTGACCATAAGCAAGTAAATAACCTCTCTGGGCCTCAGTTTCCTCCTCAGAATTAAACCTCAGAGTTGCCATGAGAATTGAAGGCCTAATTTTGTTTTTGGCCGTACCGCATGGCTTGCGGGACCTCGGTTCCCCAACCAGGGATCAAACCCCGGCTCCTGGCAGTGGAAGCTTGGAGTCCTAACCACTGGACTGCCAGGGAAATTCCTGAGTGCCTAATTAAGTATAAAGAACATATTAGTGGTTAATAAATAGCAGTAGGTGAAGCCAGACTGCTTGGGTTCAGATATTGGCTCTGTCAGTTGCTGGCTGTGTGGCCTTAGAAGAGTTACTTAGCCCTCTTGTGCATCAGTTTCCCCAACTGTAAAATGGGGGATAATTAGAGCACACTCCCTACATATAAGGTGGTTATGGAGAGTTAATAAGTTATTTAAGCCCTTAGAACAAGGTTTACACCTAGAAGTGTTCTACTGTTACTAGGTTGGGGGCACCAGTATGTAGGAAAGGCAGGGTCAGGCCAAGGCGGACCCCAGTCAAGGTGAGAGGGTAGGGTCCAATGCCAGAGATCTGGGAGGAGTGGCCCCAGCTTGGCCTGGGCGCACCTTGATGTCCTCCATCTTGACATCCAGCATCTCCTCGGGCTCCACAGCCTCTGCCCAACCCTCCACCTCCTCATCATCCTGCAGGCTGTCAAAGATGAGTTCAAAGAACACCAGCTTCTCTGAGATGGTGCTGAAGGAGTTGTCAAAGCACAGCTTGTAATCCCCGGCCTCCGTGGGCTCCACCCTGGGCAGACAGACACACAGACATGACCCTGAGTGGCCGGCCAGCCAGACTTTTCAAGGCAGGCAGGGTGGTAACCCGAGGCCGCTGGTGAGGGGCAGGGCTGTAACTGAACCTGGGCAGCCAGCAGGACTTAACTCACGTGTGCACACCGTCTGCCTTGCGGGACTCACTGACCAGCAGCACTCCCTGAGGGCTCTCCAGAGTGAAATCCACGTCCAGCCCAGCACCTCCGATCACCTGGGGGGCAGGTAAGAGCGGGTGGAGGGCTAGGGGTAGGCCAAGGGCACCTGCCAGAGAAGGCCAGGGCTCGGCCGACCCGCACAGACCCGTACCGACCACCACCAGGGGCCTACCTGAGCTCCGACACCTACACCTGCAAGCCAGTCCCGCCCCTCTCCCGTGCCTCTGGCCGCGCCCCTTGCCTTGGCTCCGCCCCCATTGATTTGATGGCCTCAGGACCGGCTCTTTTATCTGGTCACACCCCCCCTAGAGACCACGTCCCGGCTTGGCCACACCCCAAATGAGATGACGGAGCCCAGCCTTCTTCTCTTAGCCCAACCCCCGAGAAATTCTCAGGTTGGCCACGCCCTTTCTTGTACAGCATTCTGGTCTCGCCTTGCAACTCCCGCAATCGACCAAACCCTTTTGGCCACGCCCACCCTTGAGGGTCCTGCCTTCTGAAGGGCTCCCTCGTTCTCCCGATGGCCCCTCCTCCCCGCTGCCCCACTCTAGCCCCGCCTTCTTCCATTCCCATCTCTTCCGCTCCCACGCGCTGTCCCCGCCCCCTCCGCTTAGCTCTCCCTGGCTCCGCCCCCGCGCTCCTACGCACGGGCTCCTCCTCCTTCCCTCTTCAATGCATGCATTGCTTGGTCTGTATGGCCACGCCCTCTCTCCCTGGCTCCGCTCGCTCTGCGGCCCGGGACACTCTACCTGGTACTCAGTCTCAAGGCTTGCATTGGCCGGCGCGGACTGATAGAAACATTGCTTCCGCCCCGCAGGCAGTAGGAACGTGAACTCGCCGTCCTGGATCGGCGGGGGCCCTGCCCCTCCCACCCCCACTGGCGGCAATAGTAGCCACAGGGCCAAGGCTAAGGCCGCGCCGGCCGCCATCATCCGGGTCACCCTCTGGTCTGCTAATAGGTCGCGGTTCCTTTAAAGAGTTAGCCCTGCCCCCTCTGCTACTCGGCGGGACTCATTGGCAGCCGCTTCTGCCCGTTGTCCGAAGCCCGCGGAGCCAGGAGTGAAGGACCCCCTGAGAGCATAGCTGCCCGAATGAATGACTGATGCGCCTGAAAACACTCGACTTTTTACAGACGTTTTCTTTGCAAAGTCTCCACTTCTAGTCTCAAATGCTGGTGGGGGGGGCAAAAGTACAAAAATAAGACACGATGGTACATTCTTCTCAGGCAAAAGTTAAGACAACTGTAGTGGAGGTGGCCGGGTCTTTCCTGCGGTTTTCCCAGAGTACCCCGCGCGCGACGAGGATTGTGCGATCCAGCCTGGATGTAGCGGATCGGATCGGAAATAGAGACAGGGCATGGCCCTGCACGCGACCCGTAGGGCTCGTCTAGAAAGGGTCAGCTAGGGTGGGCGGAGACCCTTTTATGTTAACGTGGGGGGCGACTTGTGCCAGGTCTGTGAGTTTGGTCCCGGGTCGGATGCCTAACCAGTCATTCCTTGGCGCCTTAGAAGCGTCACTTTATCTGTTTCCTCGTTTGTGAATTAGAGGTGATGAGAATTGAGATGAGGCCTGGTCTATAGTGAGCGCCCCACATTTCTTGCATATAGTTAGCACGGCGGCTTGGCCCAGCCCTGCACCCCAATGGTCTCAAACTCGAGGGCTAGAAGGTAAACAGTGATTGAAGTGGCCCAGGGTAAGAAGAATAACAGCCGAGGTGCTTAGCGTCAGAAGAGAAGAGAGGAGAAGAGACTGTGGGTTTGGGAGGCAGGTTGCCTAGTTCAAAGCACGCCTCACGCTTTACTTGAGGCATCACTCTGCTGAGCCTCACTTTTCACATCCATAAAAGGGGTGTGGGGACTTCCCTGGTGGCTCAGTGGTTAAGACTCGGCGCTCCCAGTGCAGGGGGCCCGGGTTCCATCCCTGGTCAGGGAACTAGATCCCACGTGCATGCTGCAACTAAGAGTTTGCGTGCCGCAACTAAGGAGCCCACCTGCCGCAACTAAGACCTGGCGCAACCAAATACATATTTAAAGAAAAGGCGGGGGCGGGTGATACTAGTCCTCCTTCACTGGGCTGTTGTGAAGATTAAGTGAGATGCTTGTTTAGTGCATGGCATATCATAGGCCCTTAGTAAATATTATCCGTTATATTACAGGTTTATCGCCCTTCCTTGGGCATGCCGCCAATTAACCTCTCCCTCAGTCTGGCTTAGAGGATTTGGAGGCGACCTAAGCAGATAATCAAAGATGTCGCTGGAGAAGTGGACTCTGGTGATTCCATCTAAACATAAGAAAAATGCTCAGATGGAAATTCTGAGTCTTTCAAGATAGGCCTGAGAGAGGTTGGCAGGTGGTGGTAATTACTCTTCGAATACAGCTGGTGGCTGTCAACTGTTTTTGGCGTTTGGAGAGCTTGGGGAAGTAACACTTTGTAATGTCAAAGTTTATGTATGATCACGCTTCGTACTCCTTTTCGTTCCAAGTTTGTCTATCCTTCAGACTCACTACTTGGACATTTTGAAGTAGTTGTGGAGAACGAGTGATAACATTTTTTTTTTTAATGAGATGAATTTCACATTGCATTAGATTAATAATTTTAAGTGAACAACCCAGTGGAGTGGCATTTAGTATGTTCACAATGTTGTGCAGCCACTACTTCTACCCACTTCCAAAACATTTCATCAGCCTAGAAGGAGACCCTGTACCCATTAAGCAATTATTCCTCATTCCCCCTTCACCCCAGCTTCTGGCAACCAATCTTCCTCTATGGAATTAGCAATTCTGGGTATTTCATATAAATGGGATGTGTCTGGCTTCTTTCACTTAGCATGTTTTTAATGTTCATAATATCAATATTTAATTCCTTTTTATAGCTGAGTAGTATTCCATTGTGTGGGTATCTGTTGGACACTTGGGTTGTTTCCACCTTTTGGCTGTCGTGAGTAGTGCTGCTAAGAACATGTGTATTTTGAGTATCTGCCTTCAGTTCTTTATGGTGTATTCCTAGGAGTGAAATTGCTGGGTCATATGGTAATTCTATGCTTAACTATTTGAGGAACTGCCGAACTTTCCCACGGTGGCTGCACCGTTTTACATTCCCACCAACCATGTACGAGGGTCCCAATTTTTCCACATCCTCATCAACACTTGTTATTTTCTATTTTATTTTTAGTATGTCCCTCCTAATGGATGTGAAGTGGTATCTCATAGTGGTTTGTTTGTTTCTTTTTGGGGGATCAAGCCATTTTATTGAGGGGCATCGGGAGAGGGCCTTAGAGCTGGGAGGACAGTGATATCTGACATCCTTCTCCCGGCCCTGGGATCTTCTCAGCTTCACAGTCTCTGAAAGCTCATAGTGATTTTGGTTTTTTGGGTTTTTTGGCTGTGCCAAACAGCTTGTGGGATCTCAGTTCCCCGACCAGGAATTGAACCCTGGCAACAACAGGGAAAGCCCGGAATCCTAACCACTAGGCCACCAGGGAACTCCCGAAAGCTCATGGTGGTTTTGATTTGCATTTTCCTAATGATATTGAGCATCCTTTCATGTGCTCATTGGCCACTTGTATATCTTCTTTGGAAAAATGTTTGTTCAAGTCTTTTGTACATTTTTAAATTGGGGTGGTGTTGATTCATATATTATGGAATGGAAAAGAAAGAAGGAAAAACAATGAAAAACCTCTCCCACTCTTTGCCAGTCTCTGCTGGGGCACATCCATACTTCACCTGGGTGTTTATAACTCTGCCTTAGTCTTCTCTTCCTGTTTGCACCAAGTTTAGAAATCAGCCAGAGATGAAAGAGTAGGGTCTTCTCAGGTCTTTTCTGAGCATTTGTCCTGCCCTGGGCATGCACATTGCTTTCTAAGTTACCCAGTGTGTATGGGTACTTTTGAATGCCTTAATTACCCAAAGAAACTCTCACCCCAGCTTTTCCTCCCAGCTTTTGGTAAGTCAGTTGTAATCTTGTGCCCCAGAGAACTGTGTTTTCCAAGAATGTGTTCTGAGTTAAACAGACAAGCACCTTGAGGCAGTCCCTCAGGCAACCCCCAGACGCCTTAGAACAGACACACACAATACTGTGAGAACGAGGGCTGCTCTACTCCCTTAGAGACTGGGGACCAGGGCCCTATACTTCACTTGAAGACACAGGCTGCTGTCTTCAGGTCCTCCACTGTGCTGGGAAAGGAGATGAGGAAGGGCAGGGAAAACACCATCAAAAGCTTTCCTGCCATGATCAAGTTGCCTCTTCTTGATTCAGCATTTCCTTGGTTGGCATCAACATTGAGCTGTTTTCCAGAGTTTGGATAAAGTTAATTCTTACCACTTCTGCTCAGTTGGTCGATGTTCTGGTGGAGGTAGAGGCCCATGGAGCTACAAGCTCTGCCATTTTCACTGTTGTCTGGGGTGAATGGGTGATTCTTGTTTCCCTCAATTAAACAAAACCATCCCCCTCCCCAAGTATTCAATAAAATTTACTGAGTGACACTGTGAATAAAACAGACAATGTCCTCATGGAGCTGTCATCCCAGTGCTCCTCCACTAAATGATTTCAGGAAGTCAGAGGCACTGAGAAGTAAATGCTAGGTGGGTAGGTGGGGATGGTTCATCTCACCTGGATGGAGTCGGAGAGATTCCCCAAGAAGGTGGCATTGAAGCTCAGGTTTGAAATAGAAGGGAGAAGAGGCAAGCAGAAAAGAACAGTGCTCTGAGGTCAAAGGCTCTCAGAGACTTCAAGAGGCAGAAGGGAGATGAGGGTGGGGTGGGTGAGAGAAGTAGCCAGAGAAGAGATGGGAGCCTTCGGCAGAGGCCACATCATACAGAGTCCCTCTTCCGTTTGTAATGTTGGCCTAGGATCTTAGCCTGGGGTTCTTATAACCATGGGGAGTTAGCAGACTGGCTTCTGGAGGTCAGGAATCCCCTGAAATTATAACCAAAAGATTACAAGACCGTGTGCTGGGCAGACTCACTACTTGGACATTTTGAAGGAGTTGTGTTTGTTTGCCCCACCAGAGCTGTTCTCTACCATTCCCTGTACTGCTTTGCAGTGGGAGGCAGGGAGCTGATATGTACACACCGGGTCAACTTGGCTTCCTTTTCCTCTTATTTCCAGTTGGGTTCAGCCCTGGTAGGATATCTGAGGGCCGAAGGAAAGGAAGGTCTAGGTATCTATTCCCTGGCTCCTACCCTATTGGTCTGCATCTTTCCACCAAAGCTTGTAACCAGCTCTCTCCAAGTTCCAGAACTGTTTTCTCCCCAGCAACTTCAGCAACCCAACAACTGGCTGCTAACAGTTCCCTGACTCCAGGGAGTCACCATCCGTCATTGCTTTCCCTTCACCCTGCCCATGACTCCTCAGTCCTGTCTCTTAAGGGCATAATCTGTGTGTCAGCTGACCAATACAGGTATGTGTGGCTATTTCTGAATTCAAAATTCCAGGTTAGAGGGACTTCCCTGGTGGCGCAGTGGTTAAGAATCCGCCTGCCAATGCAGGGGACACGGATTTGAGCCCTGGTCCAGGAAGATCCCACATGCTGCAGAGCAACTAAGCCTGTGCGCCTCAACTACTGAGCCTGCGCTCTAGAGCCCGCAAGCCACAACTACTGAGCCCGTGCTCTACAACTACTGAAGCCCGCACGCCTAGCGCGCGTGCTCCGCAACAAGAGAAGCCACTGCAATGAGAAGCCCGCGCACCACAACGAAGAGTAGCCCCCGCTCGCCGCAACTAGAGAAAGCCCACGTGCAGCAGTGAAGACCCAATGCAGCCAAAAAAGTAAATAATAAATTAAAAAAAAAAGAAGCTAGGAAAAGAAGAGCCAATTAAACACATGGTAACTGGAAGAAAGAACAAAATAATGAAACAGAAAACTGAAAATAGAGAAAACAACAAAGCCAAAAGTTGGTACTCGGAAAAGATTAATAAAACTGATTAACCCCTAGCAAAGCTAATCAAGAAAAAAAGAGAAAAAACACAAATATCTATTATCAGGGATGAAAGAGGAGACATCACTACAAACCCCACAGATATTAAAAGCCTAACAAGGGAATATGAACAGGCTTATAGCAATACGTTTGATAAGTTAGATGAAATGGACAAACATGAAAATACAAGCATGCTAGTTGGAATCAAAGAAAATTACAAGGTACTATGGCAGGCTTCAGCAAAGGCATTTTTCTAAGTCCAGAGGAATCTGGAAAGATTTCCTAAAAAATGGCACTTAAACTGAGACCTGAAGCAGAAGTGGGATTTGACCAGGTCTATAGAATTGTGTTCCAGGCAGCGATGATGGAACACATGCAAAGGCCCTGAGGTTGAAATGAGCTTTGTGTATCCAAAGAAAAATGTCCACTCTAATGGCCCTTTTTCGTATTTGGCAACTACATGCTTACATCCTTCCTGGGTGTAAACCTCCAGGTGGACCTACCTGCTGGACTTGACCAGAAATGTTTGGAGACCAAAGCAAATCTGGTAAGACAGACCTTTGGAAGTTTCTGGGCTATCAACGGGAGGCAATTTATGCTGCAAACAATGTCATTTCCTCAGTTCTGCAGCTAGTGTTTCCTTCCACCTGGTTGGTGAAGCCCCTGAGGCTTTCCTCCCCTGTGGCCTCACACTGGGAACACTCACACTACACTAGGCATTGCACTTCATGACATGAATTCTTTGGAGCTAGCGTCTACTACTCTTAGCCCCATTCTTCAGAGCAGCAAGCTGAGGCTTCCAAGAAGGACCTTGTCTTGCCTGAGGTCACAGAGGCCAAGCCCTAACCACCATGCCCTACCAACTTCCACCCCACATGTTTCAACTTCAGCACTGGTTGGGCCACATTTTGTGACTTGGGCCTGGGTTTCCCAAAAAACCTATGTTCCTTGTGCTTCCTCACGCCCAGGAGTTCTCAGGGGAAAAACAAAAAACAAAAAAAACCACGCACTGGCCCATCTCATTCATTTTTCCCCTCCCATCTGCTGAACCTTGGCCCCTAAGGAACAGCGAGGTGCCAGGGTCTGATGTGCGTCCATGGAAGGGGTGGGGAGGGGAGAGAGTCCCTTTCAGCGCCCAAGTGTGTGTGTGCAACTTCCTGCCAATGAGGAAACACTCGGCTCAAATCAGCCCTGGTTCTTCTTTCCTTGCTCTGGCCTCACAGGAGGAGCTGGCAGTGAGCCGTGGGCCGCGCTGGTCTCAGCCAGATTTCCTGGCCAAACGCGCGAGGAGAGATGCCCTGGACCGTCCTGCTCTTTGCAGCCGGTGAGCCTGGTGCCCCTGTGCCACCCCTGCTCCGCTCCCTCCACCTCCCCAACCTTGCCTCTGCTGGGGGGTGGCAGGGAGGGTGTGTGTGTGCAGAAACCAGGTGCTGGAGAAGCCGAGCCCTGACCGATTTGCCCCAGAGCCTTGGAAATGCCCCAGGAGCACGGATTTCTCTTGTCCGGTCTCATTATCCCCACCCACATCAAGGGTACCAGAAATGCCAGCCCACCAGAGACAGCAGTGCCCACGCCCCATGACTCAGCCCTACTTGACCTCTGCAGGCTCCTACCTCCAGGGCTGGGGCAACAGGAGGATCTGCTGGGGGCTCAGAGGGTGGGGCGGGGAAGCTAGATAAGGGAAGGCTTGTGTCGACCTCACCTGGGCCAGGCACTCTGCCCGGGAGCCTGTGAGCAGCTGGGGAGACACTGGTCCCTCCTGCAGGAAGTCGTGCCCCAAAATCATATTCTTCACCACAGCCTGGAAAACAAGATAGAACCCCTCTGCCCTCCCCTTCTCCCCTCGGTCACCCTCCCTCCTGCCACCCAGGCTCCTTGAACACACCGCATCCCTTCCAGCCTGTGGCCTTTGCCCCAGACTGTCCCTCTGCCTGGAATGCTCGCCCCCAGTTCTTCCTGTGCCGTGTCTCCATGGAAGCCTTCTGTGGCTACCCTACCACCCTTGTCTCCCTGAGAAAGTCAGCCCCCACCCCTCCCCGGGGCAGGCATACCTTATCTGTCCGCATACCTTATCTGTCCCTCTATCTGTCTATCTCGTCTGCTGCTCTATCCCCAGCACCTAAACAGGGCCTGGAACTAGTCACTTCTGTTGATCGAAGTAGTACGAGTATAATTGCGCTGCTGTAACATCCACAGCTATTATAATAAAATGACTCAAATGCAGCGATCTCTCACCATGTGCTGGGCACTCTACCCCTTCAACATCACAGTAGGGTAGGGAAGACTAGCCTCCAGTTGTACATGAAAGCCAAGGCCCAGATAGGGTGAGCCACTTGCCCAAGGCTACACAGCCAGGCTGGCCTCTGCTCTAACCACCCAGACAGCCTCCCCTATCTTGCTTCGCAGGCTCCTTGGCTATCCCGGCGCCATCCATCATGCTGGTGCCCCCACATCCCAGCAGCCAGAAGGACCCCATCCACATCGCATGCATGGCCCCCAGGGATTTCCCGGGGGCGAATTTCACACTGTATCAAGGGGAGGAGGTGGTGCAGCTCCTGCAGGCCCCCGTGGACCAGCTCGAGGTCATCTTCAACCTGAGTGGTGGCAGCAGGGAGGTTCCAGGGGGACCATTCCGCTGCCAGTATGGCGTGCTCGGCGAGCTCAGGCAGCCCCAACTGTCGAACCTCAGTGAGCCCATGCACGTCTCCTTCCCAGGTAAGGCCCTTCCATCATTCCTCACTGCCCCGGGCTCCATTTTCTCACCTCCGAGGCTTTGTAGGTGCTGTTCCCTCCACCTGGAAGTCATCACAGGACGAGCCACCTCTTGCAACTTGCCAGGACTTTCTCACTTTTCCTTGTTTAATCCTCACAGTCACCCCCATGCAATGGGTACAGCCATTCTCCCCATTTTCCAGATAAGGAAACTGAGGCACAAGAGATGAAGAGACTGGCCCAGGTCACCCAGCCAGCAGGTGGCAGAGCGTTAAACCTGGCATGCGTTCACCCTCCCTGAAATCCAGGCGTTAAACCTGCATGCTCTCCTGCACCCTCCCTTAAGCCCCTGCTATGTACCAGGCACTGTCCTTGGCACTGCAGGTTCAGCAGTGAATGAAACAAAGTCCCTGATGTCTCACAGTTGACATTCCGAGGGATGGGGACAAACGATAAATAAGGAGTTTGGCAAACATTCAGTCTGCCAACAGGGGACAAGGAAAGTGGCAGGGATGAAATATAGCCCTGGCAGTGAAAGCGCCAAGTCCTAACCACTGGACTGCCAGGGAATTCCCAAGGGTGTCATTTTTTTTTTTTTTTTTTTTTTTTTGCGGTACTCGGGCCTCTCACTGTTGTGGCCTCTCCCGCTGCGGAGCACAGGCTCCGGACGCGCAGGCTCAGCGGCCATGGCTCACGGGCCCAGCCGCTCCGCGGCATGTGGGATCTTCCCGGACCGGGGCACGAACCCGTGTTCCCTGCATCAGCAGGCGGACTCTCAACCACTGCGCCACCAGGGAAGCCCCCCAAGGGTGTCATTTTAAATAGAGAGGAGAGTGGCCAAGGAAGGTCTCTCTGAGGAGGAAACGTTTGAGCAAATACCTGAAGGATGAAGAGTCAGCCACGTGAGTGTCGGGGGCAGGAGTGTTCCAGGCAGAGGAAGCAGGCTGTGCAAAGGCCCTGGGGCTGGAGCGTGCCTGGTGTGTTTGAGAGACATAGAGGTGCCCCATACGGCTGAAGCATAGTGAGCAAGGGGGAAAGGTGGGGGAGATGAGGGCAGGGGGGAGGCGACGAGGACTGTGCAGGGTTTTGTGGCTGCAGCAAGGGCTCTGGCTTTTCGTCTGAGACAGAAGCCCTGGGAAGGCTGATGTCTTCCTCTGGTCTTTCCAGGAGAGGGGGCTGGGCCTGGGCTCTGGATCAAGGAGCCGGAGGGAAGGAGGAGCCTCTGGGTGGAGTCTCTGCTTCACCATCAGTCAGAATTTTCCTGCTGCAAAGAGAACTTTGTTGCCAGCAGAGGCCCACCGGCTGTGATGACAGAACAGTCTCTGTGTCCTTCCCCGGCCTCAAGTTCCACAATCAAAGGCCCCCTTCTCTCACCTTGGTCCTGTGGTCTCAGAGTGGGGAAGTGACACCCCTCCTGCCCCAGGTGAATGAATGGACAAGGGCTAACACTGAGAACACCAAGTGTGTGCCTCTCCTCCCCTCCGGGCTAGTTCCTGACCTCCACTGGGATCAGGGCATCTCCTGCTGGCTTCCCCCTCTCTCCAGGGAAGGGCAGCCGAATCTTTTGCAGAGACATTAACTGGAGCTGGGGCTTCATGCTTTTGTGGCTGACCTCTACGTGGGCCTCAGGGTCCACCATGTGGCTGGGGGTGGATGTTGTCTGACTCCCTATTACCCAGCCAGCAGGACTCTTCAGGCCACAAGTAACTGAAAACTTGACTCAAATTGGCTTCAGCGACAAAAGGGGATTTGTTGGTTCACTGAACAGTACTGACTTCAGGCATGGCTGGATCCAGGTGCTCACTGATGTCAGGAGTCATGTGCCACTTCTCAGCTCCGCTTTCTTCTGTGTCTTATTCTCAGGCAGGCCCTCCCTCTCAGGGTGTCAAAATTGTACCTTGGAGCCCCAGGTGTATATCCTACTAGCTTTGTAACGCTGGCCTGAGGAGTAAACCTCTCTTCCCACTGGTCTAGCCAAAGTCCAGAAATTACTTTCATTGGCTCAGCTTGGGCAACATACCCCTCCCTGAACCAATCAGGTTGTCCAGGGGGAGGGAATATGCTAATTGGCCAGAAACAGGTTTGCTAGATCCCCAGGGTCTAGCAACACTCAAACCAAATGGAGGAATGACAGGAGTCCCACCTTCTCCCTGCAACCCCACAGTTCCATGACCTGCCCAATCTCTCTTTTCCCATCTTCCTCTAGTGCCCACCTGGATCCTGGCACTCTCCTTGAGCCTGGCTGGAGCCTTCCTCCTCCTCGCTGGGCTGGTGACCACTGCGTTGGTCGTCAGGAAAGGTAACAGCAGGCAGAGAAAGCATGGCCCACCAGAACTTGTGTATGCACTCCCACTCATACCCATTTTTAGGAGCACGGTTGGGAGTCCTTACTACAAAGGTTTAGCAGTGAAGAACCTTCCAGAATTTCAATGATGGTGGTGGGCAAGGGCAATTTATATATGTATATATACATGTATATGTGTGTGTGTATATATATATATATATATATATATATAAATTGTTGTAAAATATACATGACATAAAATTTACCATTTTAACCCTTTTTAAAAAATCATTATTTTTTTGGCCACGCTGCGCAGCTCGTGGGATCTTAGTTCCCTGACCAGGCATCAAACCCGGGCCCTGGCAGTGAAAGTGGATCGCCTGGGAATTCCTTTTTTCAAAAAAATTATTTTTAAATTTTTAAATTTTTTCATTTTAACCCTTTTTAAGTGTCCAGTTCAGCACCATTAAGTATATTCACTTGGTTGTACAACCATCGCCACCATCCATCTCCAGAACTCTTTCATCTTCCCAAACTGTAACTGTCCCCTTTAAACACCGACTCCCCGTCCCCCCTTCCCACAGCCCCTGGCACCACTGAACTCAGTCTTTAAAAACAAAATTAAGCGGGAATCCCCTGGTGGTCCAGTGGTTTGGACTCTGTGCTTTCACTGCAGGGGCCATGGGTTCTATCACTGCTCGGGAAACTAAGACCCTGCAAGCCACATGGCGTGGACTTAAAAAAATAACAACAAAAAACCCAACAAATTTACATGCTCATACCTTGTTTGAAGTTTTTACCAACCTACATTGATCATGAAATTGGGGGGAAAAAAGTGTCTTCAGTAGCTCCCCTGTTGAGTGGGAAATTTGCCAGCAAAGAAGGAAAGGCTGGGCTACAAATGTATGTGGGCCTTTTGGTTTTTTGGCTTTTTGCAACCAGGATGCAACCAGGACCAAAATCTAACAAACGCTTTTTTTTCTCTCCCAGTTAAAGTAAAAAACTTGCAGAAGAAACGGTGAGACCATCCCTGGAGACCCTCAGAGGGTGGTTTTGGGGAAAGAAAACTCAGTCCCAAGGCAGGAGTTCCTGATGGCCATTAAAGACTCTGATAGCTGGCCGGGTTCTGGGGGAAGAAGGGTCCTTCCAGGGCTCCACCCCAAACAGCGTCTTCTGGTGGGAGGCTGGCTTAATAGAAACAGGTGCTTTTCAGGAAGCGCCTACGGTGTGCCCAGCATTGTGCTGCGGGACTCTGGACCCTGAGCTCACGTGATCCTCGTGGCAGCGCTGGAAGCAGGCACTAGGAATGGCCCCATTTTACAGACGAGGAAGCTGAGGCTTCCTCGCATCCCTTTACGGCCATTTGCCAAAATTTGCTAAGTAATCATTCTAGAAATCCACAATTGTGGGAGAGGCGAGTGGTGCCCCCTGGGGTTGTGCAGCGCCCAACTTGTAGCCTGTAGACAGTGGCCCTGGTTCCTGGGCATCAGAATCTACTGGCTCCAGCCTCGGTTTCTCCCCTCTGAGAGAGGGGTGGACACCGTGCTGCCTAGTGGCAGAGAACTAGCAGTAGCCCCGGTGATGGAATCCTGACTTCACCTGGCTGTGGGGCTCCTGCGAGAGAATTTCCATCTGAGGGGATTCAGGGAGGATGCGGAGGTGGGGTGGGGAGGAAGGGCCAAGTTTGACCAGGGCTACCTGGAACGAGCCTCCTGCCTGAGACAAGTCATCACTTTCTCCTGAAACCCTCTGCAGGCAGCGAGAATCCTGCTGGGCCCAGGTTAACTTCGCCACCACAGGTCTGTGCCTCCCCGTTCCTGTCCCTCACCGGGGTAGGGTCACTGCCTCAAAATGCCATCGGGTCTCACTACTCGCTACTGAGCCCCTTCTACAGCTGCTCACTTCCCTTAGAGTTGAGAACACACGCTCCCCTCTTTCTCCCCCATCCCCTGCCGTTTCCCGACCAGGTTCACCTTTTTTTTTTTTTTTGGTGTGAACATCTTTCACCTCTTACCTCTCCTTGCCCCATCCTCATGCCTTTCACTCATTCTGCCCTCTGCCTAGAATACTTTTCCTCCCTGTGGTCTGTCTAAAGGTCGCCTCCTTCGGGAAGCCTTCCCTGACTTCCTAGGCAGGATCTACTCTTTCTACTTACATGCCCCCAGAGCCCTGTCGTTCTTCTTACCCCCTCAGTAGAAACACAATTAAGTAATCATTGCGTGCTTGGGTGTGTGACACTCGCCTCCACCACTGGACCATCAGCTCCAAGGGGGTGGGGAACTGCATCTGTCTTGTCCACCATCAGGGCACCCGGCTTTCACAGTGCCTGGCACCGTCCTTAAATGGAGCCCCACTTGTGGTCCAGAATGTGCTGTTCTGCTGGGGGTGGGGAGAGGGACCCAGCCTGTGAAGTGCGATGCCCAGGAAGGGGCTCCAAGCAGAGAAAACTCCATTCTCTGTACTTCTTTCACTGTCTCACGTATTTATTGAGCACCCCGACTATGTGCTAAGGTCTGGGGTCTCCCAAGGTAACCAAGACAGAGGTGGTTTCTGTCCACAAGCCCATACTCCGGTGGGGAAACAGCCCATGGTGGGCCGGACCCTGTCTGGGCTAGGAGGCTAGTCCCCAGAGGAAGTGGTGTTGAATCAGAGACCTATAGCGGGGAGCAGGGAGTAGCTGGGTGAAGAGCAGGCAACCCAGGGTGGGGGAGGAGCTGAGAGGTGTTCTGGAAAGTGGAAGTGGAGACAAGGCACCATTTTCCCAGAGGTCAGCCAGAGGTCCCTGAGGGAGGGTTCTGAGCAGTGGAGGGACACAGTTCAATTTGCAGCTGTGCACAGTGCACCCTGTAGAATGGGCTGGAAGGGGGCAAAGAGAATGAGGGGTGATGGACCTTACGCCCTTCCTCATGGTTGACTTGGGGCCTGTGGGCTTGCGGGGAGGGCCTGGGGAGGGCGGTGAGCAGGAAATCTGAACCGGCCCCCATCCTGGTCTTCTCTTTCTGTTGCAGACATGTCCTTCGATAACTCCCTGTTCACCATCTCCGTAAGTCGTCCTGTTTCTCGGTCCCGATTTTCTACTGACTGTCATGACCATGGGAAGTTTGGGGCTACCACCAGGCTGGGTTGACCTGTTTGTCTCTGAGCTTCTGGGGTCTGGGAAAAGCCCAGAATCACTGAGCAGGGATTGTTTGTGAGCTGAGAGTTGGCACTGGAAAATGCCAGGGGATTGGAGGTAGGCACATTGTCCAGGCCTTCGTGGGGCAGTGGGCAGGCCCCTGGTTGTCAGCACTGCCTTTGCACTCAGAATGGTGACAAGGGACTCAGGGTGACCTGGTGGCTTCTTTGGGGTCATGGAGCCTTGTGACAATCTGGTGCACACTGTGGTTCGCTCCTGGTATAAAGAAAAGCCTACTTTTGTGTTCAGTTTCGGGAACTTCAGCTTAGCTGTCCCAGACAGGCGTCTCCCTTTCAAGGGGGAGGGTCTCAACCCTCATTCCCATCCCCACTCCCCACCCCCTGCTTAGCAAGGGGTGTTGCTCCGCCAGATCACACAGTGTCCTGGCTGGGATTTGAACCCAGGTCTATGGGACTCCTCTACACAGCTGCATCTTGTGATGGCCTTGGGGTACTTATTATGATTAGTTTAATAAATTAGAGATATCCGACCCCTGGACACGATGGATCAAGAAAATGTCCAGCTAGGGGAATTCCCTGGTGGTCCAGTGGTTGGGACTCCACACTTCCACTGCAGGGGGCCCAGGTTTGATCCCTGGTGCGGCATGGCCCGGGCAAAAAAAAAAAGAAAAAAGAAAAAATGTGCAGCTAGCTCTTCTCCATGCAGAGAGGGGTACAGGTCTGGGGTGCAGGTGGTCCCCCTTGAGGCGGCCTCAGAAGTTCCATTTGTGTAAGTGGACGCTTTGGGACTTCAGTCAGGGAGCCTGGGGTGGAGTCAGTCTGCTCGGGGCACCATGGTGGGGAGGGGGGTGGGGGGAGGTTTGGATGGGTTCAACATAGCCTTCCTGGGCATCTGGACAAGAACAAGATGAGGCCCTTCATCCCTCAGAGCTTCTTAATTCTACAGGGGGAGACAGACAATGCCATGTGGGGTAGGAGTGACCAGGAAGCTCACTTAGGTGGGAGATCCGGGAGGTCTCTGAGATTAGCGACAAGCAGGAGGTAGCTGCGGAGGGATTGATCCAGGCTCAGGACACGTTCTTGGCACGGCCCAGTAGGGGTGCAGCGGAGTGAGGAGTAGAGAGGGGCGCCGCGCGGAACTTTGACTTTGACCCCAAGTGAAGGGTGTGCCATGAAAGGTTCAGGGCAGAGGTGGGACTTGACGTGATCTATGTGCTCACGGGCGCCCTCTGGCGGCTTCGTGAAGGATAGACTGTGGGGGACCGTGGACGGACGGGAGCTGGGGGACCCGGCAATGGTTCAGGCGCCAGACGTGGCGGGTAGTTTGGGCCAGTGTGTTGGCAGCGGAGGTGGAAGAAGCGAACAGATGCAGGTCAGGTAGATTCAGGGGATGGGAAACACGGCACTGATTTTGGAGTGGATGAGTGGGCCGAGGGAGAAGGAGGCGTGGCGGAGTTCCGGAGAGACAAGAGACAGGTCACCTCACTCAGTGCTGCCACAGAGCAGATGGAGACTGGACCCCAGTCACTGGTATACAGATGGTGGGAAGGAAGGGGCTTGGCACTGGCCTGTCCAGCCCTCTGAGATCGCAGCTCAGGGAACAAATCCTGAGCTGTTAAGAAAAGCCTGGCAGGCGGAGCCAGTTCTGAAACCTTCTGTGAGAAGTCACACCGCTCAAGGCACTAGCCTGGTGATTACTGCCTCCCCCGTACCCCCCACCCCCCCTTTTTTTTAAGGCATTTAAAATGAAACGGTGGAAAACAGAGAAAAGGAAGGAGAAAAATAACTTATTTCAGTCCTGGTGACTTTAAAAATATATTTTTTTTAGTTAAAATTTTTTTTGACTATGAAATACATCCAAATGTAAAAATTATATACATAGTAAAATTCTCTTCTCTTTCTTAATCCCTCTCCACCCACTGGTCTCCCCCTCTGCACACAGACGTACAGGTAAATCACCATTAGGAGCTTCCTGCACATACAAGCAAAGGCAAAAATAGGAAGTCTATATCCTCATTCTTTTTAACACAAATGACAGCATGCTAGCCACACTGTTATGAACGATGCTTCTTTTCCTTAACAGTAAATTCTAGGGATCTTTGCTAGTTTTTAAAAAAAGTCATTGTAAAATAGACATAAAATTTACCATTTTAGTCATTTTTCAGTGTACAGTTCTGTGGCATTAAGTGTATTCATATTGTTGTACAACTATCACCACCATCATCCCCAGAACATTATCCTGCAAAACAAATCCTGTCCCGGGACTTCCCTGGCAGTCCAGTGGTTAAGACTCAGCACTTTCACTACAGTGGCCTGGGTTCAGTCCCTGGTTGGGGAACTAAGATTCCACAAGCCGCACGGTGTGGCCAGAAAAAATAAAACTCTGTCCCTATTAAACACCAACTCCCTGTTTCACCCCCACTGCAGGCCCTGGCACCCACCATTCTACTTTCTGTTGCTTTGATGGATTTGCCTATTCCGGATTTTACACAGAAATTATGCCATACAGTGTTCATATTTATGAGTCGTAGCCACCCCCCGGGGGGGGTGTTGGCATTCTCCCCCATTGTACAAAAGGGGAAACTGAGGCACAAAGGGGGCCATCACACCTCATCAGGGAGAGGGGGAGCTGCGATTCGATCCCAGGCTGTCTGGTTCCCTATTCAGCAGAGAGGAAGGCAGGACAGACAGCAGGATCAGGGCGCTGAAGCTGTGTGTGTGTGGGGTGAGGTGAGACCCGATGGACTGGGGGAGTCTCGGGCTCAGAACATGGGGCAACCCGAGATCCTGAAACCCCAAATCACCCGGTTCTCTATTTTTCCTCCACGGACAAAGAAAATGACTTCAGAAGAAGACGCAGCCACCCAGGATGCTCCCTCAGGCTCTGCTGCGACACCTGGCAACTCTGGGACCCGGAAGAGGCCCACCTCCACGTCATCCTCACCTGAGCCCCCAGAATTCAGCACATTCCGGGCCTGCTAGGGCAGCCCTTCCCTCTGTCTGCGTGCCCTCCGTTCAGCCCTCCCCCTTGAGCTGGCTGGGCTTTGCAGGGTCTCAGTTCCCTCCAGCTACGTTGGGGACTTCTCGCTGCTGCTTCCTCAGGGCAGTGAACAGAGGAAATGAAGTGGACCCCCTGGCCTTGGGACCTTCCTTGCAGAGGAGCAGGAGTGGGAGAGGGGATGCAAGCATCTGCCTGGAGGCTGGACAGAAAGCAGGAAGCCTCTCTGGATTGCCAGCTTTTCAGACCACCACGGAAGGAGCTGTTAGGATCCCTCAGCCGGGCCATTATGAAGTCTGAGCTCTCCACACACCCCTCCGCTTTCCTTCGTCCCATGCATAACATGGTGTGGACACCATGCACACTGTCCCATGCAAAAACCCAATTACACCTGACTTGGGTTTTTGGAGCATAGGGTACCTGGGGGTTATATTCTATGTGCCCTGCTGGCATGCCTAAGTTATTAATTATAATGCTTGGAGCTGTTCCCAAGGCCTCTGTGGAGTGTAATCCTTCAAGCCCAGGACCTCTGGGGTCCAATCACTGATTGCAGGGTGGGGGGGGGAGGGGGCAGTACCCCTCAACTGCATGCAGTCAGGGTGGTGTATTGGGAGGCCCATGGGGGTGTAGGGAGGGGGGCAGTGCCATGTGGGGTCTCTGCTAAAGTCCTTGCATTGGTGAATACAGGAGGTGGAATGATGGAATGCTTGAGGAGAATGAGTAGTAAATGAGCAGGTCCAGGGACTTCCCCGCCGCATTAGTGGTTAAGACTCCTCCTTCCCAATGCAGGCGGCACGTGTTAGATCCCTGGTCGAGAAACTAAGATCCCGCAAGCGGCACGGTGGGGCCTTAAAAAAAAAAAAAAGCAGGTACCGGGAAGAGTGGCAGCTGGAGATGGCGGGCGGCAGCAAGCACCTTTGGAAGCCACCAAAGAGGAGGAGAATGGGGGCCTTGGAGCAGTGGAGGGGGGACTTGGAGGGAAGATGGGTGTGTGTATCTGTGTATTGAAAGGGGCACTAGGCCCTAATCTGCTGGATTCACTGGTCAGCCATCACTGCGGGAAAGGAGAGTGAGTTGGGGTGGGGGGGAAGGGGCTAAAAGAGAGGTCCAAGAATTTTTTTGTGGGGGCGAAGACAGTGAAGGGCCAAGGATGGAGGAGGAGGGCACTGGGGGAAGCGGCTGGAGATGATGGGGAAGAGAGAAGGAGAGGTTGAGTGCTCCGAGAGGGGGCAAATGTGGCGTGCAGAGGCCAAGTCCAAACTCAAACTGCTTTTCCAGAGGGCGCGCTGGGGGTGGAGCCACAGGCTGGGGCGTGTCCCTACGTCCTGTCCCCGCCCCTCACTCCGGCCCTCCCCAAGAACCCAGAGATTCACAAAGCGAGACCAGTGGTGAGGTGGAGAGCAGGACCGGTATAGGGGCGGGGCCTCTTCGCAGCTGGACCCCGCCCCTCAGTGAGCCGCCGTACAAAGCCGGGCGGGACCAGGGGAAGAGCCCAGCCTTAGGGGCGTGTTAGAGACTGTCGGGCGTCAGGCCCGCCGCCACCGTTCCCCTGGCTGGGGGAGCCACCTCACACAGCACGGCCGCTTGCGCGGGGCGGGGCTCCAGCGTGTGTCCGCACGGCCGAGCACCGCCCTTTGACGCGCGCTCCGAGCTGGGCAGCCGCACCGCCTTACAAAGCGCGGCCATTCGGGCCGCGCCGGGCTGGAGGCGGGGCCCAGCCTTAGGGGCGTGTCCGCGCGGCCGAGCACCACTTCTGACGTACGCTCCCGCCCTCGCTGTTCCTGGGCCAAGGAGTCACCTCACAAAGCTGCGACCGCTAGCGCGGGGCGGGGCGGGGCGAGGCGGGGCCGTGCCGGCCCCGCCCCCCAGCGTGCTTCCTCCCAGAGCCCAGGGCCGCCGGCAGGGGGCGCTGCGTCACGGGGCTGGACCGCAGCGGCGGTGGCGGCGAGGCGGCGCGTGGCCATCAGGCGGCGCCACCTGGCTCGGCCTCGGCCTCGGCCTGTGCGGCGGCGGCGGCGGCGGCGGCGGCGGCGGCGGTGGCAGCGGCGGCGGCCT